CCCCCCTTCCCCCCGGCCCCCCAGCAACATGTCCTCCAGCATGTCCTCCAGCATGTCCTGCAGCAAGCAGCACAGCAGCGGAGGAGCAGCACGGCAGCGACAAGGAGGAAATGGACCCGGAGATTGATTGCATCAGCTGACACGCAGGACGCCGGACGCGTGGCAACTCCAGGCTACTCTGCCATGCCCTCCAATTCTCCTTCAAGTCGATCGCCTACTACATCCGCCGCGCCACGCTCGTCAACCTGACCGGCCTCGCCGGGTCGTCCAACATCACGGGCGACGAGCAGAAGAAGCTCGACGTCATCTCCAACGACCTGTTCATCGAGGCGATGCGGTCCTGCGGCAAGGTGGCCCTGCTGGTGTCGGAGGAGGAGGACGAGATCATCTACTTCGGCGACGCCAAGGGCGCGCGGTACGCGGTGGCGTGCGACCCCATCGACGGCTCCTCCAACCTGGACGCCGGCGTCTCGGTCGGCACCATCTTCGCCATCCACAAGCTGCCCGAGGGCTCCGAGGGCAGGAAGGAGGACATCCTCAAGCCCGGCACCGAGCTGCTCGCCTCCGGCTTCACCATGTACGGCGCCTCGGCCCAGCTCGTCATGACGCTCAAGGGCGGCACCGTCAACGGCTTCACGCTCGACAATGGCATCGGCGAGTTCATCCTCTCCCACCCGAACATGCGCCTGCCCCGCTCGCGCGCCATCTACTCCGTCAACGAGGGCAACTCGCTCTACTGGGAGGACAAGACCAACGCCTACTTCGACTCCCTCAAGAAGCCCCAGAGCGACGGCGGGAAGCCCTACAGCGCCCGCTACATCGGCAGCATGGCCGCGGACGCCTACCGTACCCTCCTCTACGGCGGCATCTTCGCCTACCCCGCCGACAAGAAGAGCCCCAAGGGGAAGCTGCGTATCCTGTACGAGTGTGCGCCCATGGCCATGATCTTTGAGAATGGTAAGTCGATCCCTCGATGGCAGAAGGAGGAGGAGGAGGAGGCGACACGGCATCCTACACGTATCCCGCACCCATCCTAACAGTTGAGATAGCCGGTGGTCAGGCCGTCGACAGCAACATGAGGCGCATGCTCGAAGTCACACCCGAGCACATCCACGACCGTTCCGGCATCTACATGGGTAGCTATGATGAGATCGAAAAGGTCAAGGCCCATCACAAATAATCGACGTCGAGGGAGAGAACCGAGGCGATATTGCGCGAGGGGCATTATTTCCTGTACATGTATTGTGATGGCCATCCGTGTCTGCACTCGTCCTTACTGATCTCGGCTCGTCTCGTCTGCGGATGCTAATCACGGGAGATGCCGGCAATACGATTAGGCAACGGTCAATCAAGAAGAAGAAGAATACAGGAAAAAAAAAAAACTAAAACATTCTGGAGTAAGCTTTTCTGCATGCCTGTCTCTTGGCCAAAACCCATACCCGAGGGGAGGGCAAGTATTCTGGAGAAGGGTGCGCGAATGAGGACGAGCAAGATGGACTTGATAGTTTCAATGATTCCATCTGCCAAGGATAGCCATGCCGCTTTCCGAGAAAGCATCGTGATGACTATCATGGTATTATGGTTATCATGACTATTACTACCCCACCCATTTTCCCCCTTGGATTGTGAAAGTTTTGTAAACTTAGGTTGTAAAGTTTGAGAAGAGTCGCGATATTTAATTTCCATCTTCGGCTTACTGTAGAATCTGTTTGCTCCTCATGAGCCTTGAAACGAGGGAAAACTATTCAATACATCATATTAGCTAGCGCCCGTGGTACCGGGAACATGACGACGGCAAAGGGCTGACGGCAGATCATCTCGTGACTCGTCTCCAGGGGATGAGAAGACTGGGCCTCTCTGTGTGTCTGGAAACTCAAGGGATCGTCGCATCGCATGTTGTATATATCATGTGCTTCAGATAGATGTGCCGTAGGATCGTTCACGGTCTAGGCTCATTGCGCACTCTGCCTCTGTTGGCTGATCCCGTTATGGGTAAGAGGGGAAGGAAAGGTGAGGAGAGTCTCTGGTGCTTGTTCACGAAGAAGATGATGCTCGGTCGTTTTACGTGTATCAACCTTGCCAATCACCGCGCCTGATACCCCTTGACGTCCTCTTCTTTCCTGGCCTCGGCAGCGTAGAGAGCAGGTGGAAATCGCCGTCTTGTTGATCGAAGAAACTATCCGCTGTTACCGTCAGCATCACATTGTTTCTGTCAGAACCAATTTTGTGATTCAAAAGAAGAAGAAAGGAGGAAAGAAGGAAGGAAGGAAAGAAAGAAGAGAAGAGGAGGCCCGTTGAAAAAAAGAAAAGAAGAGAAAAAAGAAAGAAAGAAAAACTGACCTTCTCATCATGAAACCAAGACTCTTGACAGACGTCAGATCCAGCGAGGCTTTCCCACCATTCATATCCATCTCCCTCCCACGGTACGTAGGCTTAGGCCCTCCCCCCGGGGAATCCGCAACCCTCCGAACCTCTCCCTGTATTGCCTGCGCCCGTGTCTGTTCCTGTTTCTGCGCCTGATCCTTCTGGTCCCGACCCTGCCGCAGCGCAGACGTAGCCTCCCCACACGAGACCACTCCTTCTCCTCCCGTCAGGTCTACGACCGGGAATACCGTCCCTGGATGGCGTGATGACGCATCTGTGCAGTTGCATGCTGCCCTGGCCAGTATCATCATCGCGGCTCTCTCCGTCGTCTTCGTCGTCGTCGTCGTCCCGAACATGCCGACTCCCACCCCCTACGGGGATGTACACGCCGTCAAAGGCCGAGAGGTCCCATATCCCGTCGTCGTCGTCGTCGTCGTCATCCTCCTGGCCGGTGGCTGACTGCTGAGGTGCGAAGCCTGCGCCTCCGAGGGTGGAGGTGTCGTGGTGGCCGTGGAAGCGGGGCTGTGTTATCGACCTTGCTGATGTCTAGACGGGGAGATGCTGGTCCCGGCTCTGATGCTGTCGTCCATTTGCTGCCGATGGGAATCCCATCATCTATGAGAGATGCATCGTGTCATTGTTCCCGTATAAGACTGGTCAACCTATTCTCCAGAAACGGTCGCTGGTTGATGTGCGTGATGCAGCTAGCAGGGCTATAGTACATGCATGCTCGTGCGCAGGAGATGGGGGGGGTAGATGGTCCCTGAATGCGGTCACTTGGTGAATGATGACATCATGTAATGATATATGATTGATAATGCCAACTTTTCTTCCTCTTTTTCCTTTCCTTTTCTTTTCTTCTTCTTTTTTTTTTGCCAGCCGCACACGTTTTCCTTCCTCTTACCGACCTCCTCACAGCTCAACTCCTCCTTCAGCTAACTGACGAGACCAACTCCTAGCTATCTATACATGTATGGTGTACCCGTGCGTTGTCCGTGAGGTCTACCAGCAACGTATCATCAGCAACATCAGTAGCTTTACTCACCATCACCTGTCCTCCTCTTCCCCGTGAACGCGGCTCTGCTCCCGACTCTGCAACTCCCGCACCCACCACCGGGACGGCCAACTGCAACTTTTTGACAGAGACGGGTTGAAACGGACTCCGCTCCACCCATGCAATCTACCGCTGATACCATGTATTATGCCATGACAATTTGTTCTTGTTTATTATCATTATGATTATTAGTATTCCCGGTATATCCCGGACTTGAGTCGTATTATCCAACTCCACGGACCACTTAGTGGTATTACTGATACTACATGTACATGACCATCCCATCCCGTCTTCCGACATTCTCGAGCAATCACATACCTGGACATTGATACTCCGCCGTTTATCACCGTTGCCCCGCAAACTCCGTACTATACCAAATACCCCGTATTGATATGCTATGGAACTTCGGATTTACTAGGAATCAGCCCATTTCCCTCCCCGGCCGGGATTCCCCCCTCCCGAGAATTCATGTACGCTCGACTCGATAGAAAGTATCGAGTTGTTCCCTCTTTCGGCTCACGCCCCCACACACCCGCCAGACCCGGTGTAAGTCGGAAACAAGCGCGTTCTTGTAAACTCCGTCACAACATCTGCCATCCAGGTCCATCCGAGTCCGTCCGAGCATCTCATCCCGACGGGATACGGGTAGTACGGGGGGGAGGGGAGGGGAGGGAGGGGAGGGGTATAGCACGGACCCTCCCTCTACTGTGGAGTGCTAGCCGTGTGTGTTCTACATACACCGAGAGGGAGGGGGCTGTCCAAGTCCCTGCTGCTCCCAGATTCAGACTCTCGTCTCGCGTCTATCACGTCATCTGATGTTTTGCGGGTGACGGCAAGGTTGAGCCAGCATACGTAGACATACGGAGCAGATGGATCAATGGATCCGGCGGACTGTACAAGGTTGACCAAGTCAGAGAGAGGGGAATAATCTATCATGGATCCATTTGTAATGAGACAGAAGACACACATGGGAAAAGAAAAACACGTAAACCAGAAAGGAAAAAACAAAAAAAGGAGAAGAAAACAAGAAGAGTCTCTCGTTCCATCAAGATCTATCGCCAAACACCGTGCTTCCTAGAAGAGAAGGAGGAAAAAGAAACCTGATGATAGCAGGGAGGGAAGGGGGTATGGACCAGGCAAAACCAATGACAATGACCCAACCCGTTTCCCCGAGAAGCCAAACAAAAAAGAGAAAGAAAAAAAAGATTCCCAGATAAATCAAGAGAAGATACCATCGTATATATGTCAAATCCTCGTGTGTTCCCTCACACCCTTCCTCCCCAGGAATGCAAAAGAATATCGGGTATAAATGTCACCCAATGCGTATCACGCAAGAAAAAAAAAGAAAAGCAAGAAGAGAAGAGAAGTCCTTTTCGCTGAGCCCTCCTCCTCGTCCTCCTAATGCTGTGTGTAATGATCCTCATAAAGCCGTGCTTGAAATCGAGTAATAGTCGTGTGTGTGTATGTTTTTTTTTGTGGGTTTTTTTTTTTTTTTGCCTTTAGGTGAGGAGTGAAATGCATCTTACTCAGCTCTTCACTAGTTACCGTCGATACTACTGTTGTAGCTGGAAGGCTAGTAGCACTCCGGGGACTCGGGCATGGAGAGGGGCGTGTGGGGATACTCGTAGGCGTTGTCGGGGCAGTTGGTCAGGTCGAGGGTGTTGGAGAGGGGAGGAGTCTGATCAGGAAGAGGTGTCAGTCTTCTTCTTCTTCTCCTCCTTCTTCTTCTCGCTCAGAGAAGAGAAAACCAAAAAGGAAAAAAAAAAGAAAAAAAAAGAAAAAGAAAAAAAAAGCACAGTGGGACTCACGTTGAGGGGGTCGTAGCCGTTGGCGTGATTTCCGTAGCTGGCGGGTATGTGGATGGCATCCAGCCCGCCGCCCATCATGTGGTACGAAGCGTAGCTGTCGGCAAAGCCACCCTGGTCCGGGTCGGAGAAGCTGGCCATGGGGGCCATGGGCGGCGTTAGCGTGCTGCTCGAGGTGGAAGCGGACGTGGACGGTGGCGTGGTGGTCATCATGGCCGGAGCGGCCATGTAGTGCGGGCTGCTGACGGGCATGGCAGGGTAGGGTGACGGGATGCCGCCGCCGTAGGGCGAAACGTAGATGGAGGGGTCGGCGGGCGTGAAGCTGGGCGAGCCGTAGGCGGTATATCCGGCCGTCTCCATCATCGAGGGGGGAGGCGTGCCGGACTGGTCCCGCACGAAAATGGCCCCGTCGTACCAACTGGGCATGTCTGTGCTCTGGGGGGGAGGCGAGTACTGGTTCGGAGGCGGCGGCGGCTGCTGGAGCTGCTGGAGCTGCTGGAGCTGCTGCTGCTGCTGCTGCTGCTGGATGGCCCTCCTACCGGCGTTGGACCTCTTGGCCGTGCCGTTCCTGGCCTTGGTCGCATTCGACGACGACGACGACGACGACGACGACGAGGGGGAGGAGGATGAGGATGAAAGGTTCTTGCCGGTGCCGGGGCGGCCGCCGACGACGACGGTGCTGGAGCCGCCCTCCTCCTCGGCGGCCTCGTCGGGGGCCTTGGCAGCGTCCTCGGGGGAGCCGGCACGACGCTCGAGATCTTCGAGACGCCTCTTGAGCTTCTTGCCTGCACGTGAGAGTCAGAGGTCAGTCATCCGGTCTCACGCGCGCGCGCGCGCGGCAGTCAGTGCAGACGGGGAAGGGAGAGGAGGAGCTGACGTACGGTAGTTGCGCTGGGCAATGCGGTTCTGTATCCTCCTGCGCTCGGCGAGGTCGGAGATCTGAGTCCAGTCCTCGTCGGGGTTGGCGGAGGCGCTGAAGGCGCTGCTGGTTCCGTGGGCGTACTGGCGGGGGGGCGGGGGAGCGGGGTTGGCCGAGGGAGTCGGCTGGTTCAGGGCGAACTGGGTCTGATAGCTGAGAGGCATTCTGTTCCGGTCCTGCTGGGACTCCTGGTGGGACTGGTTCTGGTAGTTGCAGAAGCCCGTGGCGGTGTTGCGTTGACCCCAGGACATGTTTTTCTGTCTAGAATATCCGTCTTCGTCTGTCTCTCTGTCTCTCTCTCTCTCTCCTTGTTAAAGAGCTTATGATATAAGAGAACAAGAGATGATTGAGTAGGAAGCGCACGCATACACACACGCAGACAGAGAGAGAGAAAAGGTGGATTGCAGAGAGAAAACGGCTGTATGTCGATTCCTCGTGTATGAAGGAGAGGGGGGGGGGAGGAGGAGTAGAAGGAAGAGAAGAGGACAGGCAAGAGAGGTTGGTTGCTTATGATCCTCGTTATATAACGATCGGGGTGGAGAGGTAGAGAGACAAGTCTGATATGAGTCTGACCTGATGTTGAAGAGTCAGGTGGAAGAAGAAAGAAGAAGGAAGAGAAGAAGAAGACTTGCTGGTCAAAAAAAAAAAAAGTAGAAGAAAATAGGAAGATATTGGAGGGAAAACGAGGAGGTCCGGTTGGTTAAATAAAGATTCCCCCCAGCATCCTGTTATATGCAGGCGGAGAGAGAGAGAGCGAGAGAGAGAGCTGCCAACTACTGGCAGTGTTGGTAGCAGCTACAATGTTACAAGTCTACTGCACCCCATCAGCAAAGCATCCGACCTCGAGTGTGTGTGTGCGTGTGGGAGAGAGAGACAGAGAGAGCGACGAGAGAGCGCTTGGCGTGCAGTGCCGCAACATTGGGAGCAAGAGAAGGAGGGAGCAGGGGGGGGAGGGGGGGGGGGGGGGGGTAAAAAAAAAAAAAAAAAAAAAAAAAAAAAAATTTAAACAGGCGTCGGGGGGGGGGAGGGGGGGGGGGGGGGGGGGGGGGGGGGGGAGCGGGGGGGGGGGGGGGGTAGGTCAAAAAAAAAAAGATAAAATAAAATAAATAATTTAAACAGGCGTCGGCGGGTGTGTAGAGGAGGGGCGTGCGTCTTCCAAATGGACGGATACAAGTTAAAGGGAAAAATAACAACAAGAAGACAATGAAAAGAGCAGAAGAAATGTATGATCGGCTGGCATCTGTTGCAACGGCCGGGGGGGAGGGGGTGGGACAGGAAGGAGGAGGATAGGCAACCTGGCTCTTCTCTCTACTCTCTACTCTCTACTCTCTACTCTCTACTCTCTACTCTCTACTCTCTACTCTCTACTCTCTCTCTCTCTACTCTCTCTCTGCCCTCTCTACCAAGTTCACGCCCTCCCTCCCACATGGACTTGTGGGTCTAGAGTCCCCGATACGTACCGTCCTGACCGTTGTAATGTGTATTATAATCTGTACTTCATCACCTGTATAGCATCCCTCGTACTTTTTTTTTTTTGATTCGTCCCCAAGTTGGAGTTATTTTAGTCCCAATTCCCGCTTCCCCGTATTCCCCAGTGCTAGTGCTGTTCTGTATACAAGAGTCGATGTCCGTGAGAAGATATAAAAAGACGCAGTCGGAAAGTCAAAAGATGGACTCGAAGATGGGGGTGAAGGGGGGGGGGGGAGAGAGAGAAGCCAAACGAACGAGGCCCGCATATCTACTTGGACATCTTTCGTACGGATGAAGAAGAAGAAAATGACATGCGGAGTACATATGCTCCGTACACTCGGTCTATTAGAATCCGGACTAAATACTAAATTACATGGAATACTCCGCCAGTCGAGATATTCCTGAGTTTTGGTGTTCGGTCTACCCCCCTCCCCCCCTTAACTATGAACCCACAACCACTACTACCTCACTTTTTCGACTCCGTACTTGCTACGACGTCCGACTCCCTTGGTTGTTTCTTTTTTTTTTTTCCTATTCTATCCATTCTCATAAATCTGTTTTTTTCCTGTGCCTTCTATTTCCTTGTCCTACCTCTCCAGTCCTGATACACATCTTCCTTGCTGGGGAGAGTATGAGTACGAGTACACTCCATGCGCAACGGCCTACTCCGCATGTAAACTCCCCTCCTCCTCCCCTACCCCCCCCTCCTCACACCCCCTTGTTCACACCCTGCAATTTACGAGTACAGGTACACATTCAACTCTCCTTCTTCTGTGATGCAGCGCTCGGATATCGTGCGCAGCCAATCTGGCCCTATGGGTCAGCCCTGCTGCGCCGCTCACCAGAGGAGGTCCGCCATTTTCCCAGATCGACGTTACCCACCCCCCCCCCCTCTGTTTCGAGTCACCCAGGCGTGTTGATGAACCCGCTCCCCGTATAACTTGGATCTCCCCCTTTTCCCGCCTGTACTCGAGGGAAGGGGAGCGGAGAGGGGGGGGGGGGGGGGGGGGGGGGGGGGGGGGGGGGGGGGGGGGGGGGGGGGGGGGGGGGGGGGGGGGGGGGGGGGAGGGAGGTTGAAGGTACGGATTAGAACTACATGTACAAGTATCTCTGAAAGGGACGGTGGCGGCCGCCTCTATCTTTTCTTTTTTTTTCTTCCTCTTCTTCTCTTCTGTAATAGCTCACCCTTTTCTTTTTTTTTTTCCCTCCTGTTCCCCCTCCTGAGTTGTCAGTGTCAGTCGGAGAGCTTGTGGCTTGTTGCTTACTCGGCAGTCTCCAACGGTAGGGCTGGTGGGTGGAGAGGAGGATGGCTGAGCAGTCATCATCTAACAGCATCATGAATGGAGAACGGAAAGGGGGTTCGGAGGATGTTCTGACGTTCTAGCACTCGGGTGAAGATGTCGATCCCCGCAACCGGTTCTTTCTTCCTCTCCTCTTCTTTTCTTTTTTCTCTCTCCTCTCCTTTTCTTTTTCCCCCCCCTGACAGGCAGGCAGGCAGACAGGTAGATCATTGTTGATTCCCGCATTCTGTGTGTCATCTTGGAGAGGAGGGGGAGGGGAAGAGGAAGGAGAAGAGCGATAGCATGATGACGAAGAGAGAAAAGAAGAGGAAAAGAAATTGGACGCTCAGCAATGACTCCCAAGACTCGTGACAGGGTCGGATGCTACCCGACTCTGCACGTCGCACCTATGGGCTGGCAGCGACGCCTGCTGTCGAAGCACCGTGGAGAAGAGCAGTGTGCAGGCAAGAGGGACACACGGGCATCGACAGACATGTCGACGTTTGGTCGCCCTGTTCCCAGCTCATCCCAAGGGCCCGCCCCGTGTGTGTGCGTGCGTGCGTGCGTGTGTGTGTGTGTGTGTGTGCCTCATGCACTTCCACCCCGGTCCTGGATCGTCAAGCACGTGTCGCGGTATCATGATTTCAACAAGCCCGCTCTTTCTTGTCCGCCTCAGAGAGGTGACAAGTATCGATCCAAATTTCTTGGAAAGAAAGTTTTTTTACTCTATTCTCTCGCACGACGCCATGCCTTCCTACTCTTCCTACTCTTCCTACTCTTCCTACTCTTCCTACTCTTCCTACTCTTCCTACTCTTCCTACTCTTCCTCGCTACCCCTCTCTCGTCTCCTCTTCTCCCCTCGAACCAGCACTCCCATCGCCACCGGTGCTCACCTACTCGTGCAGATTGCCTCGTACCCCACCACATCGTTCCCCACCCCTGCCAATGGATATTAGCTGGGGACAAGTTGCGGTCCCGCTATAAGTTCAGAAAAGAAATTGACAGGGGGTGCGGAGCGGGGATGGCCCGGAAAATGGGTCTCTCTCTCTCTCTCTCTCTCTCTCTCTCTCTCTCTCCTCTTTCTCTCTCCTCTCTCCTCTCTGCGCGTTCATGTCGTACCGGTACTCTGTACATATACAGTAGCAGCGTCATATCTTGGGCAGGACACGTATATGTAGACGAATGACCTGCGCTGCTGTGAAGATGGGGAGAGGGGAGGGGTGCGTTTTAGTGTTGATTTGTAATGGCAGGCAGCATCCGGGGGGGAGAGGGGGGGGGGGTTTCTCTCCCGACACTTTGTTTTGCCATGCTTCCTTGGATGAATAATGGTCCTGCTGATTTGAAAGCAAGCGGACATGTAGAAGATTTCCCAGGAAAGAAACAGACAAGAGTAAAAATAGAAATAAAAATGAATAAGAGAAGAAAGAAAAAAGAAAAAGAAAAAGAAAAGGAAAAAAAGACGATGACAGATCTGGTTGACTGTTGGCTCGACACTTGCCTTGGAGCGCGACATGCAACCACATACAGTAATTGACTGCGTTGGCGGTTGTCGGGAGCGGGAGCGTCGATAGGCAGGCATATGCCATGTGCGATTTAGAGATATGCCTTGTACGGATTACAATTTACACATACCATGTACGCCTATACAGCCAGGGTATGACCAATCACGTACTTTTGCGCGGACCAAGTATACGACCAAGAAAGACATAATATACGTTATACATAAAACGGAAACATCGTCCTCGTACGAGGTCGGTCTTTTGAAAGAAGAATAAGTAGAATAGAACAGAGTAAGACGAAAGAGAAAAAGACAAGATCAGTGGGAAAAGAGACGTCTAAGCCACGGCCCCCATATATCCCCCCCCCCCCCCCCCTCCCCCCCCTGAAAACTAAAGAAGGAGAAGAAAGATTGACCCCAAATGTATATGATGTACACACAGCTGCACTGATATCACCATGATCATCAGAACAACAACGGTAACTATACATGCATTACTTGCAAAAAATAATAATAATTGAAAAATAATTAGAAAAGAAGAGAGAAAAAAGAAGAGAAAAGAAAAAGGGAAAAAAAAAAGTACCAGCAGCAAAACGTCTTCGTGGTGATTATGCAGGCTGAGCTAGAGGTTGAGGCTTCTACCCCCTCCCTCGTGGCACGGCAATAAGCCCATTGGACAAGGGTCCGGGGGTCACGACAGAATCCATAAATAGCTTCCTTGAACGCGAATCTACTCCGTACATCTCACCTCGCACGAGGTCCTTCCTTCGTAGCAATGCCGAACCCCCTACCCGGAATTATGGGGACCTTTTCTTATTATTTATCCATTCAATTCTCTATTTTATTTTTTTACCATCTACAGACTAATCTGTACACAGATCCTTGATGCCGGCCCCCGGGGGGGGTTGTCTTGCTTACACGGCAAACACCCTACCGTTATTCAGTATAAGGCGAGCAGAGGAGAGAGCTGCTGACAGGGTTCTGGTTCTGTCTCATGACAGGAGGAGAGGGTTGTGGAGGGTAGGCGTGTGTGTGCGTGCGTTCCGTCATCGTACCTTGGTGGTGGCCGTTGCCATAATACCGGAAGATGCCACCGGGAGCCACACCCTACCACCCGAGGATTGGAAAAAACGAGCGAGAACGGAAACAAGCGCGCGCACGCATACGCCAGGATAGCAAGAAGATGCATCCATCAGTCTAGCCAGTCTCACATCTCTCAACTTGCCGGGCTTGAAGGGGGGGACAGGAAATGACCTGCCTACCTCTCTGTACAGTCACCTCAGACCTCCCCACCCCAAGTCCCGCCCGTCAACTCCTCCCTACACAGCGCGGCAAATTGTGGCATGCGCTTCTCAGCCTTTCCCTCTTTCTTTTTTTTTTTTCTTTTCTTTTCTCTTTCAGCCTTATAGTCTCGGGATGGCAGTGGCATTCATGGAGGTCTATCGAAACGTATATCTACTAGTAATCCTGTGAATGGGATGGGAAGGATGACGACAACTAGCTATGAGAGGTGATGGCGTTCAAAAAGTTGGTCTACAGCACGACCGGCCGTGATGGCGGAATGAGATACTTGCGGAGGGAAAAAAGAGGCACTGAGCGATGAGAAGAGAGAAAGAGAGAAGATTGAAGACACAGCGCAATCAGTTACCCAATCCGGCAATCGATTCCATCTACATCAGAGCACCGCCACGTCTACAAGTACATGTAAAAACGTACGAGTATATAGATATATCGTATATCATGCATGTATGACAATCTCAAGATGATGAGAATGAAAGAAAGAAACCCCCAAACGCGGATCTATGATGTGATGTGGAAAACCCCCTTCGGCATCGCTTGACTTCGCCTCCTCTCTTTTTCTTCTCACCTCTTCCGCCCCCAACAAAAGGTTCCTATGGAACCATGTATACAAGAACAGGGAAATGCATCTGAAATGTATATATAGATAAATAAATAAGCAAGAATATTAAAAGATGAAAACATGGAAGGAAAAGAGAGAGAGAGAAAAAAGACCATGTATCTCTCCCGACGCATCCTTACTGCAGGGGACAATGTTCCCCGACAACATACATGAGAAAAAGAAAATGACAAAAAAAATCTGTCGTACGGAACTTACCAGATAGACAGAGGAGAGTAATCATTCCAATCATACCGTACAATTACCTCCACCCCCTGACCGGTGGTTTTGAAAAAGTCCGGAGACATGTGGGATCTTTCTTGAGCGATTACCCACAGGGGGGGGGGGGGGGGCGTCTATCGACCTATCACGAGGCCCTGTCTATAGTTGCCAGAAAATCTGCCTTACTACTCCGAAAGATTACATATTGCAGAGCTGGAGATATCCGCGTAGTTATCTGTACATGTACAGCATGGTTTCGAGGTCATGCATGTTTTCGGCATTGTTTCAATTTGATGTCCAATAGATGAAGATACTGTTTCCAGATTCAAGACACTCTGAAAATTGAAGATTGAGAAGAAAATTCCCAAGTCAATATCGTCTACTCCGTTCCAATTCATCAATCCCCTACTTTGGTCTTTCGATCCTCAACCTCGACCCTCACATGACATACCCTCCCTACATGTACTTGCACAGATTTTGAGATACATCACACCCAACTACCGTGACAGACAATCTGCAGGGGTGGGGGGGGAGGGGGAGGCAAGGATTCGAAAACCACCACCGCACGAATGCATACGTCAAGAGACACATCCTCGGAACTCACTCAGGGCAGAGCTTGTATATGCTTCTGTTTCTGTATCTCATGTACTCCATGCATTCAATGGATATGACTATTACGCAGTAATACTTGATACTCGACTGTAGAGATGAGATGGTGGAATGTTCCGTCATACCTTTCTTCAATAATATCGAGTGTTGCTCTCTCTCCCTCTTCAACTCCGTACATGTACGAGTACGTCTTTACATCAGAAGAGAAAAGAAGAAGGAATGAGTGAGACGTGGCGCAGTTTGCCGTCCTACCTATAGACTATGCCGCAAATATATATATATATACTCAAGTATTACTATAACATGCAGCATCATCATTTATGCCGTCATCGGCCAAGAGAGAGAAGGAGTCTTCCCATACAGGATGGCGACATGACAGGAGAGAGGTTACTGATCATTGTACGATGCGGATACGAGTTCGAGTATCCGAGTTCGAGAACACAAGCAATACCACCTGCGTCGTAACATATTCCTTCCCGTCGAACCCTTGTCCTGGGCCACAGACCCATTCATCGTATGAGGACCGGACCTGGGTTGTACTCGTAGGTGAACCTGGTAGGCTGGTAATAATAATATCATAAAGATACTCTGTATATAATACGGCTCTTACTCAATGTCGGGTGGAATTTCCCGCCCGGCCACTTTCAGCAGTCTACTCCACTGAACCGCTGGACCGCTGAGCCGCTGAACCGCTAATATTTGACCGAAACGGCTGGCATATCAAACCACTGACACTGACAATAACGGCACTCAGGCTAGCGGCCGCCCCTCTCCTCTCTACCCTTCATCGGTACATCATCATTATTCAACAACCCCCCCCCCCTTCCCTCCTCCGCCTCGGTAATATGGAGCGGCCATCATCTGCACAGATATATCTGGTCAGTCTCAGCCAAAGGCGAAATCAGATGCTTTAACGCATACACCATTCTACCTTTTTTTTCCCCTTCTCTTCTTTCCCGCTTCTTCCTCTTCTTCTTATCGCATTGCAGCACAGGACTGCCGGTCCCCTGTACACGCCACGAGTGTATATATGTACTGCTAGTAGTACTCGATAGCACTCGGTAGTGCTCGGTAGTAATACTTGGTAATAGTACTATACAAGTACTGCTATTATCATCATGTAGGACTGTCAAGTCGAGTCAATGATTTCATCGTGCCGTCCCGAAAAAAGTCCCGTACAATTCAAGCTTCGGAGACAAGGTTCTCATATCACCTGGGTGCACAGAAGAGCGCACCCATCTCTGTCTGTGCACCTCCACGTGTCAGCTGTCCGACGGCAGCGCCCTCGTTTCAACAGGTCAAAAGTCAGTGAACCACAGTGTTGGGGGGACTAACTGTAAGGTCCAGTGAGCAGGGGGGGTTGGAGGAGGGGGGTGTGTGTTTCGACCTTTTGGGCGTGTCGTTAGCCTTGGCTGCGCGAGCTATGTTGTACGAGTACATGACTGTAGGGCTGAAAGACCAGGCAGGAGCCGTCCTTGACTCCTCCCTTGGCCTCGCACCGTCGCATCTGTCCGTTGCATCTGTCTCCTGATCGTATGCCGCGGCCCATAGCCCACGTCCCATCTATTCTGCCTCCTGTCTTGTTCCCGACGTCGTACTCGGACAGCCGTGCAGGCGACAGTCCTTCAGGGTACCGCTCCATGATCACTGCACGGGATGCCCGTGCAGAGAGGGAAAAAAGAGCGGCAATCGTTTACCATTCGTATGATGAGAAATCAGCCCTCTCGGCAAGACCGCACGCCTTGGGGATATACTACGGCGCGGCGTGCAGTCGTGAGCCAAGGCAGGTGTGGCCGCCAGGTTGAGTCACCCGGCACTGGCATGTCTCTGTCCCCGTCCCCGAACCACCTGCATGTACGAGCGGCGCGAGACTGCGGATGTGGTCATGGCGGTGCATGCGTGCAGACTGGCGGGAGCGGTTAATCTGCAGAAGATGAATAGGAGGAGGGGTGGGAGGACTCTTGGGGGCCGTCGTACCTACCGCGAGGGTAACCACGCAGGCCAGGAAATGCCAGCAAATGTCGTTTCATCAAGAGAAGGGGGGAGGGAGAGAAGGCTTGTGTTTTGGGCGTGCGCATCACGCTGCTCATCGTCTGCACGTCTGCCCTTCGACGCTCTCGGGAGCGGAAAGACAAGAAGAATGACAGGAAGAACAAGAGATGTGGCACCAGCGGGGGGCATGGACGGGGACAGAGGGCGGCAACACACATACATAAGTCGTCGAGGGCTGTAAATGGGTGGTAGTGTTTGCCATCTTGGTTGGTGGTGGGCACAGAGAAATCGAACAGGGTTCCTGGGTGGCTAAAAAAACTTGTTCGTAGGCCCCGCCACTTTTTGGTGCGGGAGCAGAGTTTGGCAGG